GCTGACAAGTAAGAACGCGGGCGCGAAAATACGAAGGCGGCAAAAGAAGGAAGAATTAAACTAAAGGGTTGAAACTTCGACTAGATGACATTTCTAAATGCCTTAAAATTCACAATTTATCGATGTTTTCGAATATTTTTTTTCAGATTCTATGTCTTTTTGGATATATCTTCACAACTGATGTAGTAGATTCGATAAACGATTGATTTTTCGTATGTTTTTACATGAAACACTCGAAGCGTTTTTTCGCACGATGTGTTCCATAAGTAGGTTGTTCTCGTGACGTCAAGTATAATGAGTCCGAGCCATTTAAAAGGTTTACAGAACTTCGAGAGAAGAAATAATGGATGATCAAGGGATTCAAGTAAGTTTTTAAAAATAAACACAATATTTTTTCAATCCTAACTCACGTTGGGGCCCCGTGCGAAATTTCCGGAGAACAACCTACTTATGGAACACATCAAACGATGACCCGCCGAAGTTTCAACCCTTTAGTTTAATTATTCCTTCTTTTGCCGCCTTCGTATTTTCGCGCCCGCGTTCTTACCTGTCAGCGATCATCTATACTTCATGTAGAGTGATAGTATAATGGATTCAAGCAGTTTAAAATGTTTACAGAATTTCGAGAGAAGAAATAATCGATTATCAAGGGATTCAAGTAAGTTTTTAAAAATAAATACAATATTATTTCAATCATAACTCATAGTGGGACCCCCTGTGAATCAACGACTGAAAATCAAAAACCCAAAAATCAAAAACCCAAAAATCAAAAAACCAAAAATCAAAAGCTCAAAAATCGAAAACCGAAAAATCAAAGACCGAAAAGTCAAAGACTGAAAAATCAAAGACCGAAAAATCAAAGACCGAAAAATCAAAGACTGAAAAATCATAGACTGAAAAATCAAAAACCCAAAAATCAAAAACCCAAAAATCAAAACCCCAAAAATCAAAAACCCAAAAATCAAAAAACCAAAAATCAAAAGCTCAAAAATCGAAAACCGAAAAATCAAAGACCGAAAAGTCAAAGACTGAAAAATCAAAGACTGAAAAATCAAAGACCGAAAAATCAAAGTCTGAAAAATCAAAGACTGAAAAATCAAAAACTCAAAAATCGAAAAATCAAAGACCGAAGAATAAAAAACTGAAAAATGAAAGACTGGAAAGTCAAAGACCGAAAAATCAAAAATCGAAAAATTACAGACCGGAAAATCAAAACCGAAACATCAAGAACCCAAAATTCCAAAACTCAAAAATCGAAAATCCAAAAATCAAAAACCCAAAAATCAAAAGACCTAAACAATCTCGTTCCCCGAGCCTGTGATCCTCGGGAAGGAACGTGAGTCTCTGGGATAATCCGTTGCCGGAAGCCAGGAGTCCTGGCTAAGACCGAACTGCGCATTCCATATCAACGGTCAATCAGATTCCTCCCTGAAACGGATTATCCCAGAGCGTCACGTTCCTTCCCAAGGATCGCAGGCTCGGGGAACGAGATTGAGAACGAAAGTCAAAGACTGAAACATCAAAGACCGAAAAATCAAAAACCGAAAAATCAAAAACCCAAAAATCAAAGACCGAAAAATCAAAAATCAAAAAACCAAAAATCAAAGACCGAAAAATCAAAACTGACACAAAAATCAATTATTAAAGACAGAAAAAGCAATGGCATAGCCACGCCTGCAAAGCTGTTGTTTACGTTACGTGCGTAAGTCGTGGGCCTGTTCTCAGTTTTATAGCATAATCATCGCCATAGTTTTGTAGCGTTATATATATGGATAGAGCAGGTAACATACGTGGCCGTTGTATGCGCCAAGGAAATCAATGAGAGAAATATACCATTAAGAACGCCACATCACATAATTGTACATGTGGATGTCCTGCATTTGAACATGTATAAAGTATTGATGAATAACCTCGGCTTAGTTCCAGAGGTTTATTTTCTTCGATTTGTTTACCACAAGGAATACAAAGTGTCAATGTGAGGAAAATAAACCTCCGGAACTATAAGCCGAGGTTATTCATCAATACTTACATGTTCAATTTGAATATGTACGAATAAACTCGGCTTAGTTTCAGAGATTTATTTTCCTCACTTTGTATTCCTTGTGGTAAACACATCCAAGAAAATGAACATCTGGAAAAAGGCCGAGGTTATTCATCAATACTTTATAAATGTTCAAATGCCGGACATCCACATATACAAGTTCTCGCACTGATTTCCATGGCGCATATACAACCGCCACGTAAGTTACCTGCTTTATCTATATATATAGTAACGCAGCAAACAGTGGCGGAACGTTATATCAGGGGGGGGGCGATTAAATTTTCGAAAGGCCCCCTAGTAGAAGTGCCAAAGGCAGGAGTTGAGCATCGTATATGCACGAGTTTTCTAGGGGGTTCAGGGCATGCTCACCCGGAAATTTTTTAATCTAGAGTCTCTGAAATGCCATTTCCCGAACTTTGGGGGAGAGATTTTACAGAATTCTGATGGTCAGAAAACGATATTGTATTATATCAGAGGCCTCCCTGGCCAATGTTTTTGCTCTACAGCCTGAGCCTGGGGGCTCATTTTGCCCATTGGGTTTGGGGGTCCCCGGGTTCGCCCGGTCTGAACCCATAGTAGTTACGCCACTGGCTACAACACTATATATGGCGATGAATCAAACGTAAGCAACAGCCTTGCAGGCGTGGCTATGTATTATAAGCTCTTTATAGATGATTTAAAGTCCGATGGAATCGGGTGCAAATGGAGGAAATTTCACGCAAGGGACCGGCTTATTTCACCGGAAATCACCGGGCTTTAAATCGTGTACAAATGGTTTAAATGTGTTCATTCGGAAAAATAAGTAGGATTCTACCGTTGGCTTTCGTCCTGGGTGAATATTTATTGTCACCGAATATTAATTAGGATTAAGATCACTAGTTCAGTTACGACCAATTCGCTATGTTGAACAAGGTGATCCAGTGGTAAAAATTACAGACGTCAAGTAAGTGACGGATCGATTATCGCAGAACAAATTTTTTATATCATAACACCAAGAAATATTTGGAGATTAATCCTTTTTTCCCTCCAAAAATATTTTCTCAGGATGAAAGCCAACGGTATATTCCTGATTACTTTACCCAAAAGAACACATACAAGCTATTTACAAGGAATTTAAAGAACGGTGAAATCCGGTGAAATCAACTCGTGCCTAACGTAAAACTGTATATTCGTGGTTACCTTTCCTATTGAACACATATACAGTGCCGGATTAACCATACGGCAAAATGGCTTATGCCACAGCCCTCGCGCTTTTGCCCCCCCGCTTACTCTTTTCGATTAAAGTGAACCATGGTTATGAGTGGTTTGCCTTGTGTTGCTGATAATATTCATAAACATCGAAGTTCAATGTTTATGCCGGCACAAACATCGAATGGTTATGGCATAAACATCCAATGCTTATGCCGAAGGCATAAACATCCAATGGTTATGCCTCAGACATTCAACGGCATAAACATCCAAGTTGAATGGTTATGCCGAAGACAGTCAACGGCATAATCATCCAAGTTGAATGGTTATGTCGATGACATTCAATGGCATAACCATTCAAGTTGCATGGTTATGCCAAAGACTGTCAACGGCATAACCATCCAAGTTGAACGATTATGCCGAAGACAGTCAACGGCATAAACATCCAAGTTGAATGGTTAAGCCAGCATAACCATCCAATGGTTATGGCATAAACATCAAATGGATATGCCGAAGGCATAAACATCCAATGGTTATGCCGAAGACATCAAACGGCATAACCACCCAAGTTCAATGGTTATGCCGAAGACAGTCAACGGCATAAATGCCCAAGTTGACTGGCTATGCCAATGACATTCAACGGCATAACCATCGGGGTTGAATGGTTATGCCGAAGACAGTCAACAGCATAACCATCCAAGTTGAATGGTTATGCCGAAGACAGTCAATGGCATAAACATCCAAGTTGAATGGTTATGCCGGCAACAACATCCAATGGTTACGGCATATAGACATCCAATGGTTATGCCGAAGGCATAAACATCCAATGGTTTAGCCGAAGACATTCAACGGCATAAACATCCAAGTTGAATGGTTATGCCGGCATAAACATCCAATGGTTATGGTATAAACATCCAAATGTTATGCCGCATAGCATTTGGATGTTTATGCCATAACCATTGGATGTTTATGCCATTGCCGAAGGCATAAACATCCAATGGTTATGCCGAAGATATTCAATGGCAAAAACATCCAAGTGTAATGGTCAAACCAGCCAAGTCGAATGGTTGTGCCGAAGACATTCAACAGGTTTACCATTCAAGTTGAATGGTTATGCCGGCAACAGTCAGCAGCATAACCATCCAAGTTCAATGGTTATACCGAAGACAGTCAACGGCATAACCATCGAAGTTGAACGGTTATGCTGAAGACAGTCAACGGCATAAACATCCAAGTTGAATGGTTATGCCGGCATAAACATCCAATGGTTATGGCATAAACATCCAAATGTTATGCCGAAGGCATAAACTTTCAATGGTTATGCCGAAGATATTCAACGGCAAAAACATCCAAGTGTAATGGTCAAACCAGCCAAGTTGAATGGTTGTGCCGAAGCCATTCAACAGGTTGACCATTCAAGTTGAATGGTTATGCCGACAACAGTCAGCAGCATAACCATCCAAGTTGAATGGTTATACCGAAGACAGTCAACGGCATAACCATCCAAGTTGAACGGTTATGCTGAAGACAGTCAACGGCATAAACATCCAAGTTGAATGGTTATGCCGGCATAAACATCCAATGGTTATGGCATAAACATCCAAATGTTATGCCGAAGGCATAAACTTTCAATGGTTATGCCGAAGATATTCAACGGCAAAAACATCCAAGTGTAATGGTCAAACCAGCCAAGTTGAATGGTTGTGCCGAAGCCATTCAACAGGTTGACCATTCAAGTTGAATGGTTATGCCGACAACAGTCAGCAGCATAACCATCCAAGTTGAATGGTTATACCGAAGACAGTCAACGGCATAACCATCCAAGTTGAACGGTTATGCTGAAGACAGTCAACGGCATAAACATCCAAGTTGAATGGTTATGCCGGCATAAACATCCAATGGTTATGGCATAAACATCCAAATGTTATGCCGAAGGCATAAACTTTCAATGGTTATGCCGAAGATATTCAACGGCAAAAACATCCAAGTGTAATGGTCAAACCAGCCAAGTTGAATGGTTGTGCCGAAGCCATTCAACAGGTTGACCATTCAAGTTGAATGGTTATGCCGACAACAGTCAGCAGCATAACCATCCAAGTTGAATGGTTATACCGAAGACAGTCAACGGCATAACCATCCAAGTTGAACGGTTATGCTGAAGACAGTCAACGGCATAAACATCCAAGTTGAATGGTTATGCCGGCATAAACATCCAATGGTTATGGCATAAACATCCAAATGTTATGCCGAGGGCATAAACTTTCAATGGCTATGCCGAAGACATTCAAGGGCAAAAACATCCAAGAGTAATTGTTAAACCAACCAAGTTGAATGGTTATGCCGAAGACATTCAACAGGTTGACCATTCAAGTTGAATGGTTATGCCAACAACAGTCAACAGCATAAACATCCAAGTTGAATGGTTACACCGATGACATTCGACGGCATAGCCATCCGAGATGAATGGTTATGCTGAGGACATTCAACGGCACAAGCATCCAAGCTGAATGGTTATACCAATGACATTCACGGTATATAACCATGCAAGTTGGATAGTTTATACCGAAGAAAGTCAACGGCATAAACATCCAAGTTGAATGGTTATGCCGAGGACATTCAACGGCATAAACATCCAAGTTGAATGGTTATGCCGGCATAAACATCCAATGGTTAATTGTGCCGAAGGCATAACATCCAATGGTCATACCGAAGACATTCAACGGCATAACCATCCAAGTTGAATTGTATGACGAAAATGGTCAATGGCATGAACATCCAATGGCTATGCCGAAGACATGCAACGGCATAACCAACCAAGTTGACTCGTTATGCCAAAGACAGTCAACGGCATAACGTTCCAAGTTGAATGGTTATGCCGAACACAGTCAAAGGCATAACCATCCAAGTTGAATGGTTATGCTGAAGACCGATAACGGCATAACCATCCAAGTTGAACGGCATAAACATCCTAGATGAATGGTAATGCCGAAGGCATAAACATCCAATGGTTATGCCGAGAAAAGAATGGTTATGCCGAAGACATTCAACGGCATAATCATCCATGTTGAATGCTTATGCCGACAACAGGCAACGGCAATAACCATCCAAGTTGAATGGTTATGTCGAAAACAGTCAACGGCATCAACACTCAATGGTTATGCCGAAGACATTCAACGGCATAAGTATCCATTTTGAATGCTTATGCCGACAACAGGCAACGGCATAACCATCCAAGTTGAATGGTATGCCGAGAACAGTCAACGGCATGAACATCCAATGGTTATGCCGAAGACATTCAACGGCATAACCGTTTATGTTGAATGGTTATGCCAGCATAAATATCCAATGGTTATGGCATAAACATCCAATGGCTATTCCGAAGGCGTAAACATCCAATGGTTATGTCGAAGACATTCAATGGCATGAACATCCAAGTTGAATGGTTTTGCCTGCATAAACATTCAATGCTTTTGGCATTAACATCCAATAGTTATGCCGTAGGCTTAAACATCCAATGGTTATGCCGAAGACATTCAACGACATAACCATTCAAGTTGAATTGTATGCCGAAAACAGTCAACGATGAGCATCCAATGGTTATGCCGAAGGCATAAACATCCAATGGTTATGCCGAGAACATTCAACGGCATAAACATCCAAGATAAATTGAATAGTTATGCCGAAAACAGACAACGGGATAACAATCCAAGTTGAATGGAATTCGTAGAATCTCCATCAAACTTCACCTTACAGGTAAGTCTCGTTTAATTTTTCAATTTCATTCCGTTTCTCCAGAGTCATGCCCAGCACCTAACCTGCGAACGGGCATACGTGGGAAGTTCTGCACAGAGATTCTCAATCCAATGTTCCCTCAGCCGTGAAAACGTGCGAAGAATGGTCATGTGATAATAACATGAAGTTGAACGCTTCGAAGACGAAAGAGATGCGCGTGAACTTCTCGTCCAGTACTCCAGTTCTCCCTCTTCTCCACCAATTGTGATCAACAATCAAACAGTCAACATCGTTACGCATGCCAAGCTACTAGGCGTTACCATCTCGAATGATTTGAAATGGAACTTGCACGTAAATGCCGTCTGTAAGAATGATTCCAAGCGTTTATACGCCCTACGGCTATTGAAAAGAAACGCCCTTCCGGATTCCGTCCTAGTCAAAGTCTATCGCGCGTGTGTTAGATCTATCCTTGAGTATGCATGCGAAGCGTGGAACAACAACCTCCCTGCGTACCTTAATAACCAAATAGAGCAGATCCAGAAAAGAGCTCTTCGAATTATATACCCTTCCTTTACCTATAGTCAAGCGATGCTCACAGCCAACATTCCATCGTTGTACGATCGCCGAAGCACCCTTTGCCAGCGTCTTTTCGACAGAAATCCTGATCCAGGGCACAAATTAAACTCGCTCGTTCCAGCTCTTAGGATTAACGAACACAATCTACGCCATAATAGGTCTTTTAAGGTTCCAGTTTGTAGAACTGATCGCTACCATAAGAGTTTTATATTGTCTGTAGCATCATTATATGATATAAAAATTTTTAACTCTTAACTTTTAATATTCTTAAATCTTATGTTATTACATCACTCTAGTTATACAGTATTTTATAGTCGATAAACCATTGTAACTTCTACTTTTAATATTCTTAAATCATATTTTACTACATATTCTTAGTTATAGTAACTTACAGTTGTAAAACCAGTGTAATTCATTTTTAACTGCAAAATTGGTTGTCAATAAAACGATTATTATTATACTCTGGGTACGAGATTGGAGATGCAGTCCAGTGGCGATCTCGAGCTAGCCATGGCAACAGGTGATGCTATGAAAGGTTTAATGACTTGAATGCATTATTCAAACCTTTAGAGATGTATTGTCTTTAACTTATTTAGATGCAGATTTACTAGCATAGCATGACCAGTTTCCATGGTGCTTCGCCACTGGAGATACCCTGACACATCAGCTGTGTTGGATAACACGTTGGAGTGTTGTTTTACGCACCTATTTGTAAGAGTGTAGAAGTATTTTATTCTGGAAATCTGGATAAAACGCCCTTAACACGGACAGTGTACACGTCGTAACTACGGACAACGTACATTTTTTTAAAAATCCTGACAGCCCACAGTATAGTTTTCACGCAGGTTATTACATATTTCAAAACAAATTTAATACAGCAGTTAAAGAAATCAGAATTAATCCAGTTAGTCGATCGCTTAATGGGCTATTTTGCACATCTCAAAACTGCACTAATTCTTATTCGATTTCGGACTGTCGGAACCGTAATTATGCGAACGGATACGGAAGTCAGGGTAAACAAAGTCGACATTTCCGCCTATATTCGAGTTACAAGAATTTGGTAGAGAAAGAGAAACCTCAGATGGAATTCAACACAAGCAATCTGGTTTATCGAATAACAAACCAAATGAGGTAATTCTCAACGATCAAATGGACAACAATTTAAGAAGTCCGACGTCAGTTAAAGATACAGAAGAAACAAAGCAAGCGAAAGTGACCAGCGATATTATTAAAACATCCAACGAAACAGAAGATGCCTCATTACGAAAGGTGACATTGCTAGACATTATTAACTATTATAACTTTATTCCTTTGTACACAATTCGAATACCAAGCAACAATAATCATATATCAAACTTTTCCGCTCTTTTCTAGAAAATCTCGGATATCTGTTCGACTCTCGTGACGAGCCACCAAGAGCAGCAAGTGAACGACATATCGAAATTACCAGCCATTGAAGATCTTTGTGAAATCCTAAAACAACTTTCAAGTATGTGGGATATATAGTGAAATATAAGTGATGTTTTTATGATAATGGGTTACAAAAATATCCGATCATGACCGATAACCTGAAACTATTAGTCATTCATTAGGTTAGAGTATGGATAATTGGATCTTGATTTAGGGTCAGTTCACATGATACCGATCGAGTAATCTCGGGCTTCCGAGATAACTTGAGGGCGATCAATGTCAAAGTTAGCTCTGTTATCACGGGGGTCAAGGATATCTAAGAATAGAAACAAGTCTTCGGTTTGTCCAAGACTGCCCAAGTTTGACCTAAATTAATTAATAACGTGATTTGATTGACACCTCGAGAAAGTTTGACCCAAGTTAATTAATAACGTGATTTGATTGACACCTCGAGAAAGACACGCGCGAGAGTGATTGTGGTTTCTATCTTTGGGAGTTTTAAATAAAGTTAAGTTTGTTCATTTTGATCAAATAATCTGTAGTTCCCATTAGTAAGGGACAACTAAATCTTTGTGGCGAAAAGATGGTAGAGAGAGGCACAATTTGAATTATGAAAAGAAGCGGTTCGAATTGTCCGTAGGAGACGCTGTCCTCATTTGTGTTATTCTAATTTCTATCAACTTAAATTATTAATTAGAATTATTTTCAAATCCCAGGAGGAAAATAACTAGCACAGACATTGAAATGCTAGTATTATGCAGCAGAATTATGCAAATTATAGTGTTTGCAGGTTTTTTTGATACACCTTGTATAAAACAATCTGGGAATAGGTTTTCAAATATTAAGCACAAATTAGGCTTCTCGATATTACATTGTAACATCCGTAGTTTACCAAAAAATCTAAGCTTACTAAATGATGTGCTGCTAATGGTAAAAGAGTTGCCGAATATTATTGCAATTACTGAAACAAGGCTTGATGAAGATAGTCATCACAATATTAGAATTCCCAGTTATATTTTTTGGGAGTTAAGTCCAAAACTTCAGCAGGAGGTTTTAATTGGGTTTTATATTTCGGAGAACATTAATTTTCCCAGAAGAAATTATTTACATCTTGCTCTCACTGAGGGTGTTGAAAATTGTTGGATTGAAATCCAAAGAACTATAAACAAAAAAACGTAGTCATCAGTTGGATGTATATGTATATAGGCACCCATCGCAAAATCGCGAAACTTTTCACGAAGCTATATCGAAACAAAATTAGATTTATTACATGATGAAAACTGTGAGGTTTACATAGCAGGTGATATAAACATAGACTTTTTAAAATACCATACAGACAATAAAACATCAGACTATTTTGACACGTTACTAAATCTAAGTTTTTTTCCAATAATTACTAAAGTTACTCGAATTACCGGCCATACTGCCACACTCATTAACCATATCTATACGAATTGTCCCCCAAAAGTGGTTAAATCTGGTGTACATGCCTTGTGGTTATGTCAGATAATTTACCTGGGTTTTTTGTACCATTGAAAATAAACTTCCATTTATACAAGAAAGGAAATACTATAGAGAAATGAATAAATAAACTACAAATAAACTCTTCCATAAAAATAGATGCTGTACTGCTAAATAAGACATATGCATGATAACTTAATTCGCACTTCCTAAATGTCGGTCTAAATTTTACTGCTCAAATACCCGATTGCATGCAATGATACAAATTTGGTCCAGTTTATTAGAAGGTCATTAATAAGGACAGTTTTATGTTCTGTGCAGTATGTGTCAGTCACAAATTAAAGTGCGGCACATATTGCATGGACTAAAATACCAACAAATCATCAATTGATATCCCACAAAAATGTATTAAACTTGCTGCTGATCACATTAGTGATGTACTTACAGCAGTGTTTGGCAATTATCTTGAACAGGGAATTATGCCTGACATTTTTAAAGATATCTAGACTAACGCCTATAGATAAAGGTGGTAATATCACTGACCCATCAAACTTTAGACCTATTCCTACACTATATTTTTTCGCACAAACCTTTGAAAAGTTAGTGCTCACAAATTTCGAGTTACCTGGAAAAACATAACATTTTAAGTAAGTTTCAATTTGGTTTTCGAAAAGGTGGATCAACAGAACATGCTGTAGTGGAGATAACTGATGATTTCAAAAAAGCGATTGATAAAAATCTTTACACGTGTGGAGTAGTTCTAGATTTTTCCAAAGCGTTTGATAGGGCCTACAGTTAATCACCAAATATTGTTAAAAAAAATTAGAAACATACGGTATAAAAGGAACTCCCTTACAATGGTTTACTTATTACTTGACTAATAGACAACAATACGTATCATTGAATGATCTGGAATCACCTAAACAAACAATAACATGTGGAATCCCACAGGAAAGTTCCTAGGGTCCACTGATATTTTTAATTTACATAAATGATACATGCCAAACTATTCAAGTAAGTTATCTTTTAGGATATTTGCTGATATCAATACTAACATTTTTGCCTCCTCCTCAATTACTGACCTTGAAACACTAATTAATGAAAAGCTTACAGTAAAATAAAAGAATGGTGTGATATAAATAAACTATCTATAAGTGTTAAGAAAACAAATTATATGATAATTAAATCTTCAAGAAAAAAGATAACAGGAAATATAAATATTAAAATAAACTACTTATCAGTAGTATAAATGCTGACTTGCTCCTTAATTTGACGATATATAAAAAACGGCCTCATCTTTCCAAATTAATTTAACAACGCACCCCAGTTTAAATACAATCTCGTGAGCTCCTAACCCATCGTAACTGACAGTAAGCTCAACACTAACTTAATCGTTGTGACGTCATTATTGTAAATATGAATAAATCCTTGTTTCGGTCGTAAATATATTTCTTTGATCTTGACCGTAATCACAACCCATCCCTAACCCTAGCTTTATACACCCTTTTCATAAATGGCTGCCGATTAAAAATTCTTTTATGTGCATATAAATTGGCCCAACTAGCCTCGTTTCTGGGTAGAAATTCCTTTGAAATCTTAACATGAGTACGAGGCTAGTTGGGCCAATTTATATGCAAAAATAATTTTTAATCGGCAGCCATTTATGAAAAGGGTGTATTGTGCGCGAAACATGAGAATCTAACCATAAACTTTTTTTAATCTTTCTATCCTACCGTTACTCTAATATCTGTGACATCAGAACGACAATAGTATGGAAAATTGCACCCATTTTTGGAACCTTTTCACTATAGACCACAATATTAGCCAATAATTATTTTAAGAGCACACAGATTATCCAATGCTTTTAATTACACAACAACGATACACTGTATCACTATTAAAGACCACACGTATACTTCAAACTATCACAAGACCACAACTGTACAGTGAGTGCGGACTGTCCGGTACCAGAGGAGGAGTGAGGACTATACCGGCATGCAACGCGGTCAGACGCGGTTTTTTACATATTATCGATTTCTCGCTCTGCGCCGTCATTGTTCGGTCGGCTTTCGTTGTGTTTACACCTCGAGGTTTCGAGAGATTCAGAAAAAGATTTATAGAAAAAAATTGTAAAATGGTGAATTTTTGCACTGTTCATGGAAAGAAAGCTTTGCTTTTGGGTGGACACGAGCCTCTGTTTGTGATGAACTTGAATGTCGTGAGGTTCATGTTTATAGTTGAAATTGTTCGCTGTCATTGCGGTAGTTCTGCACTGGTACAAATTAACTCTAGTTGTGTTTTTAAGGTAAGATGATTTATATAAAATAGAAATATAAAAATGCTCTCATCTCATACTGTATTATACTATAAAATTATATATTAAAGTACAGTACATGTGATTGATATATTTCACTTAAAATTGTTGTAATACAGCAGTATTAAACGTATTTTTATTTCATATCATGTAGTTCTTCGACCCTAATGATCCACGGGAAGGAAGTATAAACAAAGAATATAACAATGTTATGTGGGAGTTTGACATTTCAACATCACCAACATCCCAAGCAATCCCACCATGTGACCCAGATAGTCAAGATGATGAGTTGGACAGTGTACTTCCACCAATAAAATTGCATCAGCCAACTGATTGTAACTGTTTTAATTTACCAATAAATCCTGTTTGCCCTGACGGACATTCATACACACCGAATGATGGAAGAAGCGCCCAGTAGTCGCGCTTGTTGTAGAGAATGAAATGGAGGAAATTCAGCACTATCGCAACACTATATATAAATGTATTGACTACTGTGTGATGCATTGCAAGGATTTATACTGATCAACCAGTTATCTATGCTCAAATGATCAACCAGTTGTCTTTTATTTTGCTCTCAGCCTAACGCCAGATTATTTTACTGTCTAACGCTAGACTATTTACTCATCAGGGTGAGAGTGCTGCCACTCAATGGGTTAATTAAAAAACATTCAAACACAATGATTGGCAGAAGCTGCAAAATTGTTTATTGGTGTCTGGTGTGATACTGACATTTCTTTTATTTGTAAGGATAGAGCTGGGGAGCTTCTAGTGGTACAGTCTTGGCCCTACCCCGGTTTTCCTGTACAGCCGTGTTTTCCTCACTTCCCTGATTCTACCATAAGTATTGTATCCCATGGACACCAGTCACACCACCTTATCAGTTCTGCAGTTTTTTGACACTCTACCGTAAACCTCCAACTATAAGCCCTGGGCTTATATTCTTTCGTAAGCAATTTTTGATGGGCTTACACAAGGGGGGAGGCTTATATACAGGGGGGGTATATTTGGAGGTTTATGGTATGTCAACCTCGTACCCAGGGTCTTTCCTCTTGGGGAGCAAAGACCCTGGTAGACGCTGGTCACGTGATCTGCTAAAATCTAGCAGATTTCTAATTAGCCATCTTGGTTTTGTTTACGACAATCATACAAAATGCAAATTATAAATTAAACTATCAAAATAATCCAAATATCATAATATCAAATGTTTATTGACCTCATCTTCGATTGCTAATTAAAAATCTGCTAGATTTTAGCAGATCACATTGACCAGCATCTACCAGGGTCTTTGCTCCCCAAGAGGAAAGTCCCTGGGTATGAGGTTGATGGTATGTATGGTTTTCATGATTTTCAGTGTATATAGCTCATCACAAATTAATAAAAAGATCACACACTACATAATTGATGCTGATAAAATTTATTTATTTTAAAATCGAAAAAATATGAACGTAATATTATTGTACTTAAAGATAATTAAAATAATAATGATAATTAAAATGTTTTTAAAAATAAAATTTTATGCGCACAATTTTAAAATGTTGCACACATTCATTTCACCAGTACACATGGATTCTATATGATGACGTATATGAAAAGTGATGCTTTTGCTCTAGCTTAATGATGCATTAAAACAATTTAGAGGTATTACATAATTGGTAAACCTCTTCAATCGTAATCATTTGCATGATTGTCTGCAACAAATATGAATTCAATGAATGCTTTATCTTCCTCAAATGTCCATTTATGAAGTTTTACTGGGAATTTCTTTGGAGGAGTCGTTTAATCTTTCTGATAAGAAACTACAAAACAAACAGCAAAAGTCAGAGGGGCAATGTCAGTGCCAGCACAATAAGACAACAAAGAAACTCATGGATTTTTACCAGGATTGTGGGCATGCTTCTCCAGGAAATTTGTGTACTATAGGTTTTCTGATATGCCACTCCCAGCATTGAAAAATATTGGCGTACGGGTGGAAATAAATCGCCCGACATTGTCATGAATTTATTGATAGATGAACAAGAGGTATAAAATACAAGGAACATAACTCCTATGCAGGCTTGCAGCAATACTGTTTAAAGTAAAATATCTTAAAACAATTGCCCAATTTTTAAAGCAGAATTCTGTCCAACCCCAGCCTCGTACACCTATGGACAGAAATTCTCACAAGCAAAAAAGTATTAAAATACAATGTTACTATTACTATAATAATAACTTTTAGCCCCCCCCCTCCCATCCCCCCATTAACATTTCATTGTCTCATTAACCCATTGAGTGGCAGCACTCTCCACTTGACGAGTAAAATCGTCTGGCGTTAGACAGAGTAAAATACTAAAGTAGGGTGCATCAGAGAGCATTGCCACTTAAAGGGTTTAAAATACAATGTTTTTGTACAGTCGTACTGTATTTTATGTTTGTAAAAACCTTTGTACTTTTATACCTTTGGTGATGTTTCAGGACTCTGAAACAAAGTTCGACTTGATGTTGAATTCTTCAAACGTGAAATTCTGTGTCTCTTATTATTAGGTTTCCCTTGGGTATCACCCTTGGAAGTATATACCCGTTTTATAGCAGTATCATCCAGTTTTACTCCAAAATAGCCGAATTCTATAATAAAATGAAAAAAATACAGTCAGTGCAGTATAAGCATATCTAACCTTAAAAGTTACATTAAACTAAAAATATGTAGGAACATAATTATATGTGTAATTGTGTATGTTTCAAAATTATCATGGAAAATAGCGATTCGTACAATAGTTTCCTTCGCGCCATGATGTTTATCACGCGATCTATTCCCGCCATCGGCGATAGAATATAGCAAAAGTACCCCATTCTCAAACCGCGATTACTAGTCAATTTCGTCGAGCTACTTTGAGTTTGAAAGTACTAATTGAAAGAACAAACTTTCCTTAATTCGATGACGTGTTTTATTTTAATTTCCCCTCAAAAAAATGAATGTGTCCACTGACCCGAATCACGCATAATTACAAGGCGTAATTAACATAACTAAAAAACAATTCCTGTACCAAACAAGTCAAAAATAATTTAGTTAGGTTCTTAAATAATACAAATATAAAAACATACCTTTGAAAAAACGAGATATAAGGAGCCAAAATCGCAATGTATTTCAACAACTTTTCGCCAAATGTTCGTTGAAAATCGTAATTGTGAATAATAATGAGAAGCAATGCATTGTGGGAAGACCCTCATTCCTCCTCTGGTCCGGTACGTACTATTTAAAACGCGAGCAGGAGTGCTTTATCAGACAAAAAACACGTGAGCGCAGCTCGAATGTTTTATCTGATAAAGCACGGACTTTTAAATGGCTAGTAAACATAAAAGCCCGGTTCACAATATACCTATACTTACACCTGCGGTATGTTGGCGGGCTATTGACAACAACTGCTCTGAAAAGCTGTGAACAATGATAGCGCAGGTATACCGCAGGCATATGTGAACCAGGCTAAAGAAAGAGTAAAGTAAAGTGCTTA